TCTTAAGATTCAATAACCTCTATCGCAGAAAATCGTCAAATCCTAGTGCTTCACAAGTTAAAGGGATCAAACAATTACGGATTTGATATTTAACTTAGCGGTAGATTGTAACGAATAACAAACTAGTAGGCCTCCTAACAATTGAATATAACAATCATAGAAATAAGTGTAGAAGAATATTCAATACGCAAAATAAGAATGAAACAATAAGAAAAACTATTTAGATCTCACAATATGTAGTTCCGAGGTTTTAATTTCCTTCGACCAAGTGTAAAATTTTAGTTATAATTCATGAATCTAAGAGAGAAATAATAAAGAATGGAGTTTGGAGGCGTTTTGTACGTTCTGGTCATGTTCTAGGGTTTTAAAATATGTATTTATAGTTGTTTCCATAGGTAGTTGACTTAAATTAGGAAACCAGAATTTTCGTGTCGGAAATGAACCATGCGGACGCATGGTTCTGAAGCTTGCATCCGCATGGAACAAATGAACTCAGCCCTCAAACTTTCGGTAATGGTCTATGCGGTCGCATGGAATTAGAGGTTTGCGACCGCGACCGCATGGTTTTACGAAATTTTCTCCAAATAGCTTTCAATAATTTGGTCATATCTTCTTTTCCTGATATCCGATTAAGGTGATTCAAGATTTGTTGGAAAGATACCTCAAAGGGCTACAACTTTTCTTCAAATATCATCTTCCAATTCGATCGTTTTCTATGTCGAAAATGGGTCTCAATATGAGGCTGAAATTCAGTGTATAACTTTTCGATTGGAAATTGATGTGTGATCATACTTTGACGATATTTCATCCATTTGACATCTTCTTTCAACCAACTGACTCTCAAATCTTCATCGTTTGATTTGACACAACTCTTATGTATTTGCACGCNAACAAAATGTACACGACTCCTCTTTTGGTGACTTTAGTAAGGAAAGAAGTCGTCGAAATTGAACACAAAGATTCGGATGGAGGGGATCACAATGCCAATGATTTTTGGGACATAATGGAGATAGCTCGGGAGGATGATGTGGTTATTCCCGATCCAGTTGTTCCTCATTGTGATCTCATTGTTACACATAGAATTCTATCGGTAGTTCACGATATCGGGAATGACAATAAATTTACAAATGAAGATTTGATTGTTTTATCCCGCCAGAGACATGAGTTAGGTAGGAGCCTAGGGGCTGGAACGAGTGGACCATTATCTAATTCTTCGCATGTGGTTCCCGATGATAAGGATTTGTACGTCGATCAACTGTTTGAAACAAAGAAAAATTTGCAGGAAGCTGCTAATCGAATTGCACTGAAATACAATTTTGAGTTCAACGTTAAGAAATCAAACAAGTCATTGTTGACGATTACCTGCGTCGACACAGTTGCCATTGGCGTTTGCAAGCGACGAAAATAGACACAAACGAGTTCTTTGGAGTTCACAAATATGCACGGGAACATACTTGCGAAATAGGAGTTCGTCAAAATGATCATATGCAAGCTCGAGCATGGCCACAGACGATCTACAGACCTTTGACATCATTAACGATGTCTGTCGAGAGTACGGAATCGTCATGAGCTACCAAAAGGCCTGGAAGGCCAAAGAATGTGCGTTGGAGGATTTAATGGGTTTGGTCGAGGAGAGCTATGCTAAATTGGTTAGGTATTACCATAACATGAGAACAACTAATCCTGACTCGGCTTTTTTTATTGAGACGGATGGCGAGAATTGCTTTAAATTTTCTTTATGGCTCTTGGACATGCATTCGGGGATTTCGAAATATGATACGACCCCCAATTCTAGTCGATGGTACAACTCTGAAAGCTAGATACGAAGGCAACTTAATTATTGCTACATGTCAATATGTCAACATCCAAATTTACCCTATTGCATTTGGCATTATCGATAGCGAGAATGATTTGTCGATGCATTGGTTCTTCACAAAGCCGAGGGATGTAATTGGGGAAGTCAAGGACATTGCCTTCGTAATTGATCGGGGACAGTCTATAATAAATGCTATCGCCGAATTATTTTTCGGGGCACATCATGGATATTGCATGTACAATATATAAGACAACCTTAAGATTAAGTTTCGGGGCACAGACATCTTTTCAATGTTCAGAAGAGGGGCTGAAGCTTATAGTGTTGAAGTGTGTAATAAGTTCATGGAGGACATATGAAGCAAATCGTTATCGGCATGGGAGTATCTGACAAATATAGGGATTGAACACTGGCATGATCACATTTTTCAGGTTGTCGATACAACATAATGACGGCAAACAATGCGGAGTCTCTCAACGCATTATTCAAGAAAGATTGAGAGTTATCAATCCTAACAATGATTGAGAACATTTGTAACAAGTTGCAATAATGGTTTCAGGACCGATGTACGGAAGCACAAAGTTACACTAATGTGCTAGCCCCAACTCAAGAGGATAAACTCTTCAAGGTTACAAAGCTTGCGAGAAAGTTGTATGTGGAACCACTGGATGAGTTGCGCTTCTCCGTGAAATGTGCACGTAATATGGCATATATGGTGGACTTGACTGATAACACACCCACTCATCGATTTTAGTTGGAGAGTTTTCCATGTGAGCATCCAGTCGCGGTGGCTATGTATAAAGGCTTTGCAGCAAGGACATTATGCTCTCCTTATTACACGGCTGAAGATTGGAGAGCTGCATATGCTGAGACTATATTTCCCCTACCGAACGAATCTGAGTGGGAAGTTCCTGACCGTATTCTCCTACTTAATAGTTTGTCGCCACCNCTTGTCGTCATGTTAGTTGGTGAGGTGTCCGTGTGAGCATATAGTCGCGGTAGCTATGTATAAAGGCTT